TCGAGCTATGAAAAAACAATGAAAAAGCAAATATGAGCAATAACATGTAAAAATTAAAATTAAGAGTGAACCATAAAAAAAGTTATTGAACTATTCGGTAATCTCAACATATGTTATTAATCAAATTTATGTACAAAATAGGTCACCGTACTAAGCAACAAATTCATCCGAGATCATTTTGTTAATTTTGACCGTTAAATACTGAGGAAATATACTTTTTACATAATTTTGGGCTCAGGGGTAATTTTTTCGGCGATGCACCCTTTCAAATCCCTTGGCCGTAACGGTATGTCTCCTGTTTTCTTTCAAAAGTTTTGGCATATCGTTGGAAAAGATCTATTCCAAGTGTTTTAAATTTTTTAAAAAATGGTTCCTTCGATAGCAAACTCAATTTCACCCATATTGTGCTTATCCCTAAGATAAAACAACCTGATCAGATCACCCAATTTCGCCCCATCAGCTTATGTAATATGGTTTATAAAATTGCTTCAAAAATTCTAGCTAACCGAATCCGTCCAATCCTTTCTACCCTCATCTCTGAATCTCAATCGGCTTTTATTCCGTGTAGATTCATAATTGATAATATTCTTGCTGCTTATGAGACACATCACTATATGAAATCAAAAACTAGGGGATTCTCACCACTCATGTCCATTAAACTGGATATAAGTAAAGCTTTTGATCGAGTTGAATGAGCCTTTTTATTCGCCGTTCTACAAACCATGGGGTTTTCTGATTTTTTTATCTCTCTTATTCGTAAATGTGTCTCCTCTGTCTCCTTTTCCTTCTTCTTGTTAAATGGCAAGAAATTTGGTCAATTAAATCCAGAAAGAGGAGTCAGAGAGGAAGGTAACGACCCAGAGAGGAAGCTCCAAACGAAATGTTTGACGCGGGAAGGAATGCGAAGTTTCCAGATGGACTTCTAGAAAGGCGAGGATGAGCTAAGAACCTGCGGCCTATTCAAGGGGATAAAAGCGTTAGGCAAAGTCGAGACAAGAGCATGATGTGATGACCTAACCGTGAAGTGACCATGTGCTGTAAAATGCCATCTCCATAGATCATGGCCTTATGCGATGTCAACATCTAGCTGCAACATTGCAGTTGCTATGTCCGGCGAGAAGGAAGTTCGCACCAATTCGGTATTCCAACTGCCGAAAGTGGTATTCTAGAGGTCACAAACATGTGCATTCGTTGGCAAATTGTTGTTGATCCTAGTGGCTATAAAGAGTGGCGGAATGGGAATCCAACGGTCACCGAAAACCTTAGTAGTGCATCCCAATCTGATTTGCTTGAGGCAGCCTAGTAGAAGCACTTGCCGACTTTCGAGGATGCTGCACCAAGTCTATGAAGGATGTGCGAGTGAAGCGATAAAGGATTTGTGAGCAAACGCCAAGCTTGCTTTGCCAACATTGCCAAATTAAAAGCCCGTAGATCCCGAAATCCAAGACCGCTCTTCTCTTTAGCCATAGAAAGATTATCCCAAGAAAACTAATGTAACTTTCGCTTTGCATTAGTGTCGCCCCACCAAAACTTTGCAGCCATTCTTTGAATCTCCTGGAGGGTGTCGTCCGGGATTCTAAAGCAAGACATGGCATAGGTTGGAAGAGATTGTATCACCGATTTGATAAGTATTTCCCGACCCACTCTGGACAAGTGCTTCTCTTTCCAAACCTGAACCCGTTTCATACAGAGTCTTTCAACGCACTAAATACGTCTTTCTTGTTATGATCAATCACTAAAGGAAGACCAAGGTATTTTCCACGAGAGCTAACCCTAGGAATCTTCAATAACTCACATATTTCCCTTGCTACATTGTGGTCAGTGTTTGGGTTGTAATAGATGCCAGATTTCTCATAATTAATTCTTTGCCCGAATAAAAATTCATAGAGCTGTATAGCGAACTGCAGGTAGTGTGCCTCCTCCGTAGTGGCTGCACCAAAGAAAAGTGTATCATCGGCGAAGAAGAGATGTGAGATATGCGGAGCCCCCTGCACCACCGATACACCTTTGATTTTACCTTCCTCTCTGACTCCTCTTTCTGGATTTAACTGACCAAATTTCTTGCCATTTAACGAGAAGAAGGAAAAGGAGACAGAGGAGACACATTTACGAATAAGAGAGATAAAAAAATCAGAAAACCCCATGGTTTGTAGAACGGCGAATAAAAAGGCTCATTCAGCTCGATCAAAAGCTTTACTCATATCCAGTTTAATGGACATGAGTGGTGAGAATCCCCTAGTTTTTGATTTCATATAGTGATGTGTCTCATAAGCAACAAGAATATTATCAATTATGAATCTACCCGGAATAAAAGCCGATTGAGATTCAGAGATGAGGGTAGAAAGAGTTGGACTGATTCGATTAGCTAGAATTTTTGAAGCAATTTTATAAACCATATTACATAAGCTGATGGGGCGAAATTGGGTGATCTGATCAGGTTGTTTTATCTTAGGGATAAGCACAATATGGGTGAAATTGAGTTTGCTATCGAAGGAACCATTTTTTAAAAAATTTAAAACACTTGAAATAGATCTTTTCCAATGATATGCCAAAACTTTTGAAAGAAAACAGGAGACATACCGTCAGGGCCAAGGGATTTGAAAGGGTGCATCTGCTTGAGAGCTTTTTTGACCTCGCTTTCGAAAAAAGGCATTGCCAGTTCAAAGCTCATGTCAGCCGAGACTTTGCTTCTAATCTGACTTAAGCCCTGTTAGAGATCAGCTTGGCGAATTGGTGCAGCCGAGAAAATGTTTCGGAAGTAGTTCACAATAATTAGCTTAATCTCAAGATGGGAGCTCTGAAGTAATCCAGCAGAATCACGTAAGCCAGCAATTTGATTAGCTTCCTTACGTTTTGTGGCATGAGCATGGAAGTATTTCGTATTGCGATCTCTTTCACGATACCAGTGATGTTTTGCTCACTGTTTCCATTTAAGATAATCTTGATCGAGGAGGAATTCAAGTTTTTCTTTCAGTAAGCATAGCTTGGTTTTGACTTCCTCCATAATACACCCTTTCTGCAATTTTAGAATTTCCTCCTTGGTCGCGTCAATATTTTTCTTGACATCTCCCACAGCCGACTTACTCCAATGCAATAAGCTGATCGAATAAGATTTCATTTTCTCCGAAATGTCACCAATATCATCGTTCCAATGGTCCTTAATGATCTTTTCACAATGGCAAATTTGACCCACATGGCTTCAAAATGGAACCGTATCCTGATATTGCTACGCTGGTTAGGGCGAGACAACTCAACATGAACATGAAGGAGATGATGATCAGAATTTGAGCGCAGAACATGATCAACTCGATTCCACTTGAAGACCTCCCTCCATTGCAAACTACAAACTGAACGATCCAGACGTCCTCGCTGAGTAAAAGGGTCGATGGAAAGGCGGCCCCAGGTGAATTTGTATCCATTGAAACCCATGTCCGACAGGTGGCAATGCTCGAAAGTCCATAATTTGTTTTTCCGGCCGAAGATGTGAACCAACAAACTCAGATTGAAGGAGAACTTCATTAAAATCCCCTAAGCAGATCCATGGTATCAAGCGATCCTCCTTCGGGTTCTTAAATCTTTCCCATGCTGCTGGCCGCAAAGAAGTTTCTGGTTCTCCATAAACACCCGTAATACGAACCTGAGTGCCTAGAAGAATCGCATCAACATCAACATGATTTTTTGAAAAACTCTTAAGTGAAACCGAAATGTCTTTTTTCCAAAGCAAAGCCAATCCTCCAGAGTTTCCAACTGAGTCAACTGCCAAACAATTTATACCTAGTCGATATTTAAGAGGATCAAGATCAGATGAACGACACTTAGTTTCAGAGAGGAAAACTAAGGGGGGCTTCTTAATGCGTACCTGGTCGCATATTTCTTGAATTGTCCAGGGTTTCCTAAGCCCTCGACAATTCCAAGCGATCAGACTCATGGCTCTCGGCGGGACTGGAGCTGCATGCCAGTCTCTGCCGTTGAAATTTCGATCAGATCAAAGTCACAAGTTGCTCCCATATGCGAACCAGAAAGTCCTTTACGCCGTAGGTGCCTTTCTCTATCAGAGGATGGCACATCAGTCATAATTTCAGTGAGTTGCAGGCACCGTTTAACTCCAGCGATAGGCGTCTGCGATGCAGCTGGAAGTTTTGGAGGTCTGCCCGTGGCCATACGATGCTTGAAACGAGCCGCAATCGCACGTTTGAGTGGTGAGTCCATCTCAATTGGGACTTTTGTCATGAAGGGGCTTGAAGGCAGTATGGGAGAGGCGATGGGTTGGTGATCAGGTGATGAGGTTAAGTCAACAGAAGATTGATCATTAGGTGAGATGGGGGAGATAGGGAGGCTGATGGTGGAAACATGCGGGTGGGAAAAGTCTTGGACTGGTTGTACTAGTTTGATGGTAACGGATCTAGGGATTGATTGGATTGGTGGTTCGAAGGAGAAGAGAGGAAGGTGGTGGGAGTGAGGAGACGTGTTGGGTGCAAGATGGAATCCATGGCAGAGTCTGAAGTAGAGAAAGTTTGCGTGGGCGATTTCTACATAGGATCAAAGTGATGTAAGAGTGAGTGAAATAGCTAATCCATAGGGATTGACACCGAGGGGGTTTGGGAGGAATTTCTACGAGGGGGAGGGGCTTGTGGGTGGCTAAAATAGACAGTGGGCTGGAAGGAGCTTCCGGGGGAGGATTCTTAGTTTGCTCATACTACGGCGAAAGTGAACGTGCGTTGAATTGACGCCGCTGGGGGAAGTGAAGAGGAAGGTTGGTGTCGCCGTTGGTCGCCTTTCGCCTAGAGAAAAGACCCTAGTGCCGTTTTAGAACATCAATGCTTAGTTCTATCTCATGCTCCACTTTATTTGGCTCACTTTTGTCCCACTATTTATAACTACGTAGTTTTGAAAATAGTCTCATCATTCTATTCATAGGCTAAAAAATAACAAGCCGGCCCCCACACAACAAGCCGTTCAACTCCTTTTTTTTTGGAAAGACCATTCATTAGCAGAGCAAATTACAAAACATTCATTACAGGAGACACTCTATCTAACTTATGAGCGTTTTCAACGATAGATCTATCTACTTTCATAAAAGAACATAAAGCAAAACTATCTCTTAACTTACATATATCACTCCCTAGCATGTGAAGAGGATAGGGCAATGCTACACTTTTTGAGCCAAGCTTTACAACTGCTGCATTGTCAGATTGAAGAACACATTGAGAGATTCCTAGCTCCTTTGCTACTTGCAAACCTTTAAGGCAGGCCATTGCCTCAGCATGGAGGGGGGTGTACGACAAAAAAGTGCAGCTGCCACAGTGAAGGCACCTACCATATTGATCAATACACTCCCATGCCGCTGCTCCAATCTTTTCATGATTGTTAAAGGCTCCATCAACATGTATTTGCACGCCTGGAAGAACTTGGGAGGTCAGCTCAGTGCTTTCCGTTAAACCTGCAGGCCTCTGATCTCCATGTTGACTGGCATTAAAAATTTGAAAGTATTGTTGTGCTCTCCGTAAGATTTCTACTGGGGATACAACTGCTTCCTCCCAAACATTCTCATTACGAGCTAACCAAATACCCCAACACATGAACAAAGAGAATTGAATAGATTGCAAATCTGGAGCTGTCAAAATCCAATCATTCAACCATTCTGCAAAACTAGAACCATCGCTCTTGTCAAAATCAAAACCAAGTGGAGAATACCGCCAAGCTCTTTTTGAGACAATACAGTCTAAAAATAGATGTTGAACAATCTCGATCCCAACGCTACACCTCATGCAAACAGCTGACAATTGCATTACTCTTTTATTCGAACCTGATAAGGTAGGCAAAGCATTGGTCACGGCTCTCCAAATGAGCCACTGAATTTTGGCTGGCAACTTGAGTGCCCAAAATTTCTTCCATCCTGCCTCAGTTAAGGACTTGGTAGAGTTTCCATAACTTGATGCAATATTTGCTTCTTTCAAATTTATGGCTTCATAATATCCAGACTTGACTGTATAAATCCCAGTTGAAGTTCGGCCCCAAATGAGCTGATCATGATGGGAATTCGGATCTACCGGAAGATACATGGACATAATATTTTGAGCCACCGGCGTAGGAAACATGGAGTGTATCAATGGATATTTTCAGTAGAAAGTGTGATCAAGTAAATCTCCAACCTTTAGATTTGGCTGCACATCAGACTACTGGGTATCATATAAAGGATAATCCACATTTGGAATCCAATTATCTTGAACAAGGACATCATTTCCATTTGCAATGCTCCATTATGCTTCTCCATCCCCAAGATGCTTTCCGTGGAGCCTTGCACTTCAAAAAATAGCCCCCTTTATGTATTTTGCCGCAAAAATTCTAGCAAAAAGTGAGCTGGGATTTGCAATTATTCGCCATGCCATTTTTGCTAAAAGGGTTTGATTGAGGTCCGTTGATGATCTAAGACCAAGTCCACTATGAAATTTTGATTTACAGAGATCTTTCCAAGCTTTCCAATGAATTCCCCGACCATTTCGATCGCCCTTCCAGATATAATTAGCTATCACTGAGTCAATTTGCTTCGCTACTGATTTTGGAAGTTTAAACACCCCATCATATATATTGGCATTGTAGCCAAACTGTGCTTAGCTAATGTCACCGACCCATCACGGATAAAGATTGATTTTTCCAAGACTGGAGTTTTTTCCTCATTCTTGCCACAATATCACTAAACAAAACCGTCTTCCGCTGTAAAAAATCTAAATTCAAACCAAGATACTGACCTCGATAGTCATTTTTCGGGATGCGCAACCTTAGCGATAGAAATTCCTTGTCAGCCCTACTCATGTTTGGACTGGTCATTATGGAAGATTTCTCGAAGTTCACTCACTGGCCAGATAAATGAGCATATTGGTTTAAAACTTCTGCAAAGGCTCTTATATTTCGATCCTGGCACTCCATGAAAATCAAGCAGTCGTCAGCATACATAAGATGGAAAAGACGTGGTGCTGCTTTTGCCAAACAAATGCCAAAGCTCTCCTCTTCCTTGTCTAAATTGTTGATAGCTACCGAGAATGCTTGTTGACAGATAATAAAAAGATACGGTGAAAGGGGGCACCCTTGACGAAGCCCTCTCTTAGGAAAAAAAATACTTTGAGTGCCACCCATTAAAGGAAATTGCATACTGCACTGTGTTCGCACAATTCATTATCCTCTGAATCATGGATTGTGGAAATCCCATCTTCACTAGAACCTGCTGTAAGAAAGTCCAAGAGAATCGGTCCTACGCTTTATTCATATATAGCTTAATGGCTGGCATGCAATCACTGCCCAAATTTTTCAGCCTTATATGCTCAATTGCTTCATGCGCTAGCAAGATGCTCTCCCCAATATAACGTCCAGGCACAAAACCATTCCGGTTTTCATTAATCACCAATCCCAAAACTCTCTTTATCCTATTTGCCAGTACCTTTTGCAACAATCTTGTAGAGTACGTTGCATAGGCTAATAGGACGAAAATCGGAAGGAAATGTGGGGTTACTTTTCGTTGGGATGAAGATGACATTATTCTTGTTCCATTCAGAGCACCAACACTGGTTGTGTAGGATATCCAAAACTTGAGGTACAAGTCTGCTCCTAATAAGACTCCAATAATGTTGATAAAAACCTGCAGGAAAACAATCAGGTCCGGGTGCCTTCCAAGGTGTCATAGCTGCAACTGCTTCCCAGATTTCTTGTTCTGTATACGCATTTCCTAAGCACGCTCTTTGATCCTGTGTGATCTGAGGCGAAATCAACTCCATTATCTTAATCCGTGAACCCCATATTTCATCATCGCTAGGTTGAAAGTTGTCATCCACAAACACACTTTCAAAATGGCGAAACATAATCTCCTGCATTCTCTGTTGTTCAAAACACCAAGCATCATTCTCATCCTTCAAACCAGTGATCCAATTTCTTCCTTTTCTATTCTTTGCCCAAGAATGAAAAAATTTAGAGTTTTTGTCCCCTTCTAAATTCCATCGTAATTGGGCTCTCTGCTTCCAAAAATCAGTTTGATAATCCATGAGTCTCTCTATCTGAATTCTGGTCTCTTCTATCTCTGCTGAGTTGGTCATAATACCAGAACCAAGTTGCAAGGTTTCCATTTTCTTGGAATAACTTTTTATCTGATAATCCAGATAACCGAAGGAGCTTTTACTCCAATTCGTCAGATGTTTCATGCTGATACTCAAGAGTTCGGACAGTTTGTCATTGGAGAGAAGTGTAGAACTGTGATCCTGTGACCAAATTTTGCGCAGGATTTCTTTAGCAGTTAATCCAAAACGCTTCAAATTTTTAGGTTGCTTTGATATGAGTTGTCTCCTTTAAGGTCTATCAGTATGGGGCCATGGTCTGAGATGACAATTAGAAGATTAGTTACCGTGGCTCGTGGGAAAATGTGTCTCCAGCCATCATTGACAAAAGCTCGATCCAACTTTTCTGCGATTCTTGCCGTCCCGCTTCTATTGTTTTTCCAGGTGAAGGAATTGCCCCTTGTCTCCAGCTCCCCCATATCGTATCGTATTCTTGAAGAAGAGCAAACAGCTGATCAGAATACTTATTTTTTATACTGCGTCCGCCTCTCTAATCCTCGGGGAAAAGAACTTGATTAAAATCTCCCATCCAAAAATCCAAGGTAACACATACGAGGAAACTATATCCCGAATTTCATTCCAAACTCCTTTATTAATTATTTTAGGGATTCCATTCAGCAGAAAATCGTGAGATTAAGCCTAGAAATCCAGAATCCTATTTTTGCTTGACGAGTAGTCAAAGACAAAGAGAAAATTGGAGCAAGCAGTCCTTTTGTTGCTTCCACAAAACTACTCCATAGCCTTCGAAAATAAATATTCGATTTTAATTTATATAAAAATTTCCATCGCCGCTCTCCCCCGTAATGCCTGATTATCTGATTCGACCCGCCTGAGGTGAATGGTTTCTCCATGGCTTCTTCCTTTTTCACACCACCTCTTTGGGCATTTTGTCATGGCCAATCAACTGCTTTATTTATTGGGTTTTTAATTGTACGTTTTTTGGGGTGTTTCAGGTTCACGAGGGATTGAATCGAGCAACGATCTTAAAATCTTGAACTTGTTTTATTTCTTTGCATAAGTTTCCGAATAGACTGATTTCTATTTTTTCTCTTTTGTTAAGGAAATTTTGAGAAAAAATCGTGCCTTCCAAACATAATTGGTTCTGGTACTAAACTTTTAATTTTCAAAACCCAAAGACAAGTTTGGAGGAAGAAAACCTGGGAGATGACTGCGATGGATGCTAATGATGATCTGAAACTAATGACGAAGAGAAAAATTAAAAATAATTAATAAAATTGTGCGGCTTAATGGATTTGGAGCCGATTTATTACTTTTTAGTCCATGAGTTGAGTGATGAAATAACTTACAATACTACATAGTTTTAAAGAGTGTGACAAAAGTAGGACAAATAAAGTGAGACTAGAGATCTCATTCGCGGAAGATATATTTAGTTACGAGATTACAGTGTTATGGGTGTCGATACCTCTATAATATCAGAAAACAAAAATAACCTAATATCTATAACTCTAACTGGATAAAATAACCTAATATCTATAACTCTAACTGGATTCGACGCTGCCAGTGAGGCCAGGTAATGATTACCTACATAGTTTTCCTCCCTATATACATACTTTAGCTTAACTTCCCATTGCTTCTCCATGAGCTGTCGTATTGCTTTAACGAGGCCAAAGTGAGCTCCTATCGGCGGATTATTGCTCTCAACCATCTGGATAATGCTGAGGTTAATTAATTTCCATTTTTAAATACAAAAGCTTGCAAACACTGATTATTTGTTATCAAAACCGTTCCTCGCAGTTTTGAAAATTTTCTCTTTGCAAGTTTTTTCAAGTTACAAGCATCCAAAGTTTCCAATATCATTTTCGTCGTTGGAAAAGCTTGAAATGAATTGAATACATGAGAAGTAGTCTCTGGAAAGAGGGATTGAGAAACAACTTTTATGCCGTGAAGGAATTGATAAAATTAATTTAGTTACTAAATAATACAGCTTGCTAAACACTAATTACCTTAAACGGTAATGTAATGATATTATGGGTAACGTGTAACTGCAAAGGATTTATTTACTGTTATAACACGGATGGAATAATACTAAACAAGTGTTGTAATTCATTATGATGATATATCTATTCTTGACTAAACGAGAAGTATTCCAGATCGAAAATCAAACAAATTCATTTCTTCTTGACGTTGCCAAAAAATTCTAGCCAGATCAAGATAAGAGGCGTTAATAGTAATCATCAAGGATAAATTTCGAGCTATATATATACCTCTACAGCTATTATCCTACTTAGCTTCTTTTTGGTTAAACTGAACTCGTTCTTTTCGAAGATAGATATGGCAAAGTTCTCATCATACTCCTTGCTTTGGTTAATGGCGATTGTTCTTCTAGGTAAGAATTCACAAGGGCATTTAATTTCTTGTTTATGTTTAAATATTGAATATATAAAATAACTTCTTCTCTTTTTTTTTTAATAATGAAAATGCAACATAGATATTTCAATTACTGAAACAAAAGATACAAATTATACATTGTGTTTCTACCTTTTTAATGTTACTACATCCTGACATGGAATTCATCTCTGGAGATACCTTTTAAGAGCAGATGAAAAGAACAACAAACCATGCAGCAAAACAATTTTTTCCCCGCACTATATGTATGAGTATTCCGTTTGCTCTAAAATGATTGTCGTATTTAATTGTGTGTGTGTGTGTTTTTTGTGTTTTTGTTTATCTCGTACTTGCAGGTGGCCATGCATTTCTTCAAGTTAGGGGACAAGGTATTGCGGTATGCGAAAAACTGATAAGCCCAGATTTTTGTTATTGTTCAAGTTGCATGAAAGAGTGCAGAGATACTATGGCTGGAAATGGGACTTGTATCCTATTGGAAGAACCTTATTGTCGCATGGGTTGCGTTTGTTTCCACGATTGTTAATACAAATTAACAAACTCAATGAAAACCGCTTCCAATAGGTAATTTCATGTATGGACATACTACATATCTTGATGTATATTAGATATGATAAATTTGTTTGGAGCTTAATTATGGAATACAAAAACTTGGCAAATTAACACTAATTATTAATTTTATTAATTTTGTTTGGAGCTTAATTATTAAAACTTGGCCAAGAAAAATACATACTGCAGACCTCCATTTAGCCAAAATTTGACGTATTATTGTTGGACGGAGGAAGTAATTAATGTGTTTCTTGTTTGCAA